TGTGTGTGTATGTGAGTGTTATCCTATCAACCAAATTTATTTGGTTTTGTGTTCATTTGGACTTTTGAAGTGTTTTCTTTATGCTTCGTTGTTGACTAGAACTATTTTGGCTTGTTTATAGAATTTCTGTTGAAATTAACATTTTTTTACTTTCACATGAACGTATCTAATGGATGACATAGGAAGAAGAAATGTTCGATTATTTAAATCTAACATTAGCTTCTCGTTTATATATGGGTCATGTTCATTAGATTTGCTATGCTTTGTATCACTGGATTAGAGAAAGTGCGATTTTATCTTTGTTTTTACCTTCAGGGACTGATTGGGCAATATGCAGTATCCATTCTTGAAGAGAAATCTGTTTGAGGCACCACTGCTCCTACAATAATAGCATAAATGGACACCCAGGTAAAATGATGTGGATTAATATGCTCTTGATATCAAAATGGGGGAGAAAAAAATAAAGAAAAATCTGTACTTGGCACTCTACTGATTCTTAGAGTGGTAAGCTTACTTCTGCTTCTCAATTTATGTTTATTTTGTCATGATTATTTGGGACTGACTTTTGTGGAGTATGGTGAATTGTTGCTTTTTTATGCCCTAATTCTTGCAATAATTTTTGTTTTTGGGAGCTATTAGATCGTGAAATGGTGAAGTGCATAACAAAGCGACTACCGAGCAGCTGTATAAACAAGTAGACACTGTCTGGATGAGGCTGAAGCAAATGTAAGGGTATCCAGATTCTTCATGTGGTTCTGCAGTTGCTTGTTGATCTGACTAGTTATACTACTTAACTAATTATAATGCTCTCCTCTCTTTTTTATTAGCAGCACATTACAAATATTTCCTAAAGTAACAATTCACTGAGATAGCCTGCCATTGTATGATTCATTTGCATGCTTCTATTGATGATGAGTCCTCTTCTTTCTTGGTAGGTATATGCTAATGTGGAAGAGAAAACATGTGACTCTAAAGAAGAGGTTTGTGAATTTATTTCATCACATCAGATAGCAGAAAAGCCTATATCCATCCAATTACTCATTAATATGAATTTGTGATTGAAACTATAAGTTCTTATTTCTTCAGGTAAAAAGAAGCTTTGGTATGGGAAATCAAGATGGAGCAAAGCAAGACGGTGAATTGTTCGAGTTTCAACATTTTATTATGAATTTGTGATAGAAACTATAAGTTCTTATTTCTTTTTATTATGTTATTGGAATTTCAACATTTTATTCATTTTGTATATTTATTGTGGATATTATAATTGTTCGAGTTTTATTATTATAAATTTTGTTTCACTATGGAATCCCTAATATGTAGACAAATTATTATGTGTATCAAATTTGACACTATATTGTTGTCAATTTCATAATAACGATGCATGAAAAATGTGTCGCATTTTGATAATTCTTAACACCCATATTTGTGTCACCAAAAATCACAACGACACTTAAAAAGTGTAATGTATTGAAAATTACCTACAATACAATTTTGTGTCACAATAGTCCATATTAATGACGCTAGAAAAAAGTGTCATGCATTGAAATTTACCGACGCTAAAATTTTATGTCACAACTCGTATCAATAATGACGCGCTCAAAAAGAGTCACCGATTGAAAATTACTTACAATAGTATATTATGTCACTAAATTATGTACTAGTGACGCACTTTTGAAAAAGTGTCACGTATTAAAGATTACCTACGCATCTAGGTTGCGTCACAAATAAATTCGTGACATCAAATTTAGCAACACAACTCGTGACACATTTGCAAGTGTAGGTAAATTTTTTTGTGACACTAATAAATGTCACTAAATAAAAAAATAAACGTCACTAAATGCAGTTTTTGTTGTAGTGTTAGTGGACTTAGAGGTTATACCGAGTTTGCCACGTGGTATCACCGTGTACTGTGATAACAGTGGAGCAGTAGCGAACTCAAAAGAACCTCGAGCCCACAGGGCAAGCAAACACATAGAGCGCAAATACCATCTGATTAGGGATATCGTTGGTAGATGAGACGTTGATGTTGCCAAGATTGCGTCAGAGGACAACCTAGTTGATCCTTTCATGAAGAGTTTGCCGGGGAAGGTCTTCGTCAAACACGTGGAAGGAATGGGAGTCATGAGCATGACAATAGGATCGACATAGGTCTTTTAGAATAACGGATTGATAGGACTATACTGTAAAAGCGAAAGCTTTAAGTATAAGTGGGAGATTGTTAGTGTTATATACTGAAAGCTTGGCTTTGCATGTTATTACACATTTACCCTTTATGAATGAGAATCATGTTAGATTAAACAAGTTCTACGTTCTGTTGTTCTGCACTTAGATAGGGTGGGTCGTCACCGGGCGAACCGAAGATCACTCTGTCAGTTACTTGTGAACAAGAATAGTTGTTCACAACCTAGATGGACATGAACACCCCATCCGAACGGTTGTAGTGTCAACTGTATAGTTTGTCTTGACTGATTAGTTGCACTAGTACATTTATGTATTGAACAGGATCCCAGAGAGGAGAAGTTCATTTTATACTGATCGTCGTAAATGAACTAGGCCTCGGTTAATTACTGCGTTCTCTTAACCCGTAAGATATTAAACAGGCAGATATATATAATATATATTACTTTGATTCACATGGGTGAGGTTCAGTTCGCTGGATTAATATTCCTACTGTTTTGGGTAATATTATTATATATAGGATGTGCTGTTAGGATATTTACGGTCACCATGTGCGTTAGTTTGATGATGTCCTCGGAGTGAGTTCATGAAGGATTATTATGCTAAACCCTGCAGGTGGATTAAATTCCGGCATAATAAGAATGTGATGAACGAGCGCTAGCTTCGGTGAAATAATAATAAATAAATTTATTCTTGATTGTTAATCGAATTAATTAATGGACATTATATCTTAAACGTGGGGAGGTAAATCGAGTAATTATTATTGGAGTCTCAAATGTAATTTGGGCTAGGGAAAGGGAGTGCAATAATATAATGTTGGTGGCCCATTAATATTATTTAATTAATTAGAGGAGTGAGTTTGGCCCACAGTTAGTCTAATTAATTAAGGAGCCCTTTTCCTAATCTCCTTAGGGTCCCTACTGTAGCTCTATATATACATCATTAAGCTCATGAGAAGAGAATCTCAATCCTATTCACACGTGAATAACGCCGCCCATCTCTCTCTCTCTAGATCTCATTCGAGCTTTATCTTCTTCTTGTTGCTCCACTGGTACAAGTTGAAGAAGGGTGTGTTGAGTAATACAGTAGAAGATCTGTAGGTAAACTGAGACGAAATAGATTTTGACTTACAGAACTAACCGGAAGTCCGATTGAGACGTACAGTATACCCAGACGACCGTCTCGACGAGAGCTTTCCATCGCCGCCGAGATCGCCGGAATTCGATGCCGGACACGCCTTCACGCGCCGCCGGAAGCTCCCAGGCTGCAAGTTTCGTTTTGATCTGTTTGCATCCGTTTGATCCGATTTTGATCTGATCTTGTTCCTGCAACCCAAGACGCGTGTTGTGGTCAATCAATTGCGGTCAACCGTTCGTGGTCAACCAGATCTACATAAATTTTAAGCCGTAAGTTCTCTACGTCAAACCTTTAGATCCGTTGCGCATAGGTTTACGTTTGCTATTGAATTCGTGACTTGTACATAACGAGATCCTCACAGATCCCAACAGCTGTCTTCTAGAGTCTCAAATAACGAGGCAAGTATGAAGCGTTGCTCAAAGGTATGCAGTTGGTTTCTAGCGCAGGAGCTAAGAAAGTAGTCATGCATTCAAAATGTCAATTGGTAGTCGAACAAATGAGGGGCGAGTATGAGGCCAAAGAGAATAGGATGGTGAAATATATAGAAGAAACACGGGCCTTGGCTAAAGGGTTTGAGTCATGGGAGCTCGCCCAGATACCACGAGCTAGAAATAGACGAGCAAATTTGTTATGAAATGTGGCAGCTGCACTAGTAGATTGTAAGTCAAGTTCAATTATTTTGATTCAAACGGGATCTAGCATATTGTAGTCAGACATGGAGCTATATGAAAAGGTAGAATTGGATAAGCTCTTTAATCAGTTGGTTGGGCAGGCCAAAGTGGGTTAGAGTGATTTGCGAGGAGATAAGCTGGGTTGGCGAGCTTTGTGATTTTTCGTTCAGGATGGAGTTCTTTATAAGAGGTCATATGTTGGGCCCCACCTAAGGTGCGTCTCCGAGGACGGTGGTAATTATGTATTGTAGGAAATTCATGATGGTTGTTGTGTAGACCATATCAAGGCTCGAGCATTGGTCGGAAAGGTTTTAAAAGCTGGGTACTTTTGGCCAACAATAAGGGCACGAGCGAAGGAGCTCGTCCAGAAGTGCTTTAATTGCCAGCAACACGAACAACTTATACATGTACCAGCTGAAGAGCTCATACTGATGAGTTCGCCTTTGTCGTTCAGTTAGTGGGGGAATGGACATAGTAGGGCCTTTTCTGCAAGGCTCGTGCTAGTGAAAATTTTTGTTAGTGGATGTCGTTATTTCAACAAGTGGATGGACACTGAGGCGATGGCCAAGACAACGGAAGAGAAGGTCATCAAGTTCTTATTCACTAATATCTATTGCGGATATAGGATTCCCAAAGTGATAGGGTCAGATAATGGTCCACAGTTCCGAGGAAAAAATATATTGGCATGATGCAAGGATATGGGTATCAAGCAACACTTTGCTTCAGTAGCTCACCCACAAGCAAATGGACAAGCAGAGGTGGCAAACCGAACCATATTGATGGCAGTATTTTAAATACCGTACCGGTGCTCATACTGGTCTAGCCATCGGTACGCGGTATTACCGGTCGGACCGGTAATACATTTGGTATTACCGGACTAGCAAATATAATGATATATATATAAATATACATAAAAATATATAATACCAAATGCAAAAAAATAAAAAAATAAATAACCATAATCATTAATTTCAACTTCTCAATGAGATAAAAAATAACACATTTTAACTACCAATTTAAATTTTATGTTTTTAAATTAATAAATCTTAATTTTTTTTATTTTTTTTATTATTGACCGATATTTTGGACTGGTATTTACTAGACTTGTCAAAACGGGNAAACAGCAACAGACCCATCCTTCCCCTCTTCTTTTCGTTCTTTCTCATCCCTACTGAAGCACCTAACGCTCCCCCGGGCTGAAGGAATCGGGAAACAGTGACTCGCTACCCATCTCCTCCCAACTCTCTCGTCATCCTCCTCCGGCCACGACAACAAGCACGACGATATCCCCTCGTCTTTCCATCGATTAAGACAAGCCACCGCACGTCGCGAACCACCATAGATTCAGACTCGTCAAGCCCAGATCCACGGAGCCACGTGACTGTCGGAGCCCCGCGCGGAGGAACTTGGAGTCAGCACCGGAGCACGACGTGTCAGTAGACCTCCCATCCTTCGTGCTCGATTCGTACTGGAAGAACAATCGGCCGATTCATAAAAGTAAAGTGAAATTAGGGATAGAGAATGGAGAATGGGAGATGAGGATTGGAAATTAGGGATGAGGATTGGAAAGAATATTCAACTTCAACCCCTTTCTGCCGATTCGAGATTGATGAGAATTGAAAATGAAAATGGGCCTTTTAATTTGTTTATCTATTGGGCTGGCCTGACTTATTTTTTGTTTGGACCACGTAATTAATCTATCTATATTGATATTATATATATATATATATTTAAAAAAAAAATTGGCGGGCCAGCCCGCGGCCCGCGCGGGCTGGCCCGTTTAGGCCCGCTCCCTAGCGGGACTCTAATATCCTAGCCCATCCCACTCTTTTGGCGGGGCGGGGCGGGTCGGCCCGCGGGCCTCAGCCCGTTTTGACAAGTCTAGTATTTACGATATGATTCCAGTACAAACCGATATAACCGTAAATCCGGTATTTTGAGTGTAATAGTACCGTACCAATGGCTGGTATTCGGTAGTACCGGCCGGTACGGTAGGGTATTTAAATCATTGATTGATGGGGTTGCGAACCCGATTATGAAAAGCTTTTGGAGCTTTGATGCATGAGCTTGATATAGTTCTTTGGGCATATAGGACTACGCGAAGGTCGACCACGGGGAAAACACCATTCATCTCGACGGATTTCCTTACGGATAGCTCGATCAATGATAGGTCGATGGGTCTATTTGGTGTGATTTCGATGAATTTATCTTTGGTACATCCCGATTCAGTGGTGGGCGAGTGTTCAAAGAAAAGGTTACTGGTTTTAGGTAAGCTCTAGTGTTGGGGTAAGTACGTGGTCAAGCATAAGACAGGTCGTTGAGACTTTGTTGACAAGCTAGCTCACAAAATCCACAAAGTGAAACAAGGTAAATACATACGCATTGTCAACAAAGTAAGGAGTTGGGCGCATACATGACACAAAGTAAAGCAAGAATTAACAAGAGAAGAAAATAAGAGATTCATTCAAAAGTTGAATGTTCATTCATTGCGAAAACAGAAGTTACAAGTACATGGTAATAAAATTACAACAAACTAGTCTATTTGGGGGGAGCGGGAGTTGGACCAGCGGCAGAGGTAGATGAAGCACCAGACTGGTCGTTGGGTGCAGTGGCCTGCTCGACTAGGCCCTTTGGCTGGCCAGAAACGGGGGCCATGACAGATTGGCGCCCTATAGGTACTTCGCCCGGTCGAAAGCGGCATTAAGCATACTGTCACTGGCCAGAACTCGCTACAAGGAATTCTACCACCAAGGATGGTCGGCTGGCATATTGGGATCACCAGTGAAGTTGCTACGCACGACGGGGATTGCATCTGAGATTTTGTTGAGATCGAGCTCTCCAGCAAAGCCTTGGGCCTTCAACTGCCGATCGTCCTCTTCTGCACTGTACGTGTAGAAGTCGAGCCCTATGCTAGAGGCCTCCTTAAGGAAGCCGGGCGAGCAATGATAATTTTTAATCAACTGCTCGTGGTAGGCCTTCAAAAATGTTTGACACACTTGCATCTTCCACAAGGCCCTCCGGCACTGCTCGGTCGCAGCAATAGCAGCCGCATCGATCTCCTCTTTTCGACCAGACCTCTCTAGCTCGAGGGCCTGGGCCCGGCGTTTCAGCTCATCTTGGTGCTGCTGCTCATTCTTCTTAAGCTGGCCAACCAGCTAATGGCGTAGCTTGAGTAGCTCCTGGTTCTCGACCCTCATGAGCTTATTTAATTAAGCAAGATGCTCGTTATCCCCCTCGAGCACAGGGAGGGGTCGACTAGAGCTGCCCATGGGCTCCTCGAGCAGAGGAACGACAGAAACGAGGGTCTAAAAAATGTACAAAGCATAAACATGATATACAAATAGGAATATCATTAAGTATAAATGCAAGATAAAAGCAGGAAAGACGTTAACACTTAGCATGGCATGTACCTGGGTCAAGGCGCGCAGAGTATATTCGCTCTGTGCTTTTCGGTCGACATCCCAACGATGGGTATCCTCGACCGGCAAGAAGTCCATGAGGCACGACACAACCTCCTTAGGACCGGCTTATACTAATGAGGTTTGAGGAGTTGGTTGGGAGAGCTGAACCTCAGAGGTCCTCACCTCGAGATGGAGTCATTTGTTGGGGGAGTTCGAGTCGTCAAGCAACTGGCCGACAGGCGGAGGTACGACCACCACAGAACGGGGTCATTTTTTTATGGCGTTGGCGTCTTTGGTCAATTGGTTGGGTTGGTGGTCGATTTGCTTTGGTGGAGAGGAAGGGGCTTTCTGTTTGCTCGAGGTTGGATGAACCCCTTACTTTTCAGTCCTTGAAGGGGCGTCCTTGGTCGACTTAGCCTTGTCGGTGGTGGTCGAGGAGTCTTTGGAGATAGACCTTTTATCGGAAGACTTCTTCAGCTCAGGCTTGTTCAAAAATCCCTCTGCACAAGGTAAACAATAGAAAAGTTAGTTATATAGTAAAAACAAGTGTCTGAAAAATAATAATTTCTGGTCGAGTACCTCGAGGCACCCTTGACTCGTTAGCGTGAAGGTCGGTGAGAGACTGGTCGATGTGCAGGTCAGTTATTGTTTGCGCGAGCGGAGGAGGATAGGGTTTGTGGGTAAGTATGCCGCGTAATGTAGAAGGTGGTTATTTCCAAGTAGGGGAATGGAAGCGACAGGGTTTGAATTCCAAAGGTCGATGCGGCGGTCGAATATGGGGTTGCGAGAAGGAGTTTCGACTTCAAAGGAGAGATCCTTGAGCTAAGGAAGAGTGGCCCAAAGATAAGGGGTTGCAGGTGATATATACAAACCTACGTTTCCATTTAGAACGTTGGAAGGGCGGTCGATTATGAAGTGCGCGTTATTCTTACTTTTTCGGTATGAGCCTCTAGATTGTTTGGAGGCTAAATAACAGTAATGAAAAAATCCTAGGTCAACTCGACCTAAGCGGATAACAGAGAGAATAATGAAGGTAGGGGCAAGCCATACACACTGCATAGTTTGAGCAGGGCATTGTAGATGGGAAAACGGAGGCCTAAGTCAAACTGTATTTGAAAGAAGGTGTACGAGCTATCGGGAGGATGGTCGTAGGTATCATCATCGTTGGGTCTATAAACGCCAGCAGGATGGCCAACCTCATCGAGTTCGAGCCAATTCATATGGTTCGAGCGACGGTGAGAGTTTTTGGAAGGACGTTTGGTCTTGGAACGGCTGGTAGAAGGATTGGATTTTTTGCTCGAGGAAGATTGGAGAATGGTCGAGGAAGGCGAAGGATTGACAAAGGCCTTAGAAGTTTTTGCAGGAGAAGATAGAGGATGGTTGGTCGTTCCCTCGTCAGGGTTGTCGACGAGATAGGTAGATGGCGAAACAGTCTCAGTGGAAGGACTCTGAGGACAAAATTTTGGTCGAAGAGTGGACATAGGTTCAATGTTGAGAATCTCCACGACGGAATTGCTAGAAGGCGAGTCTGGTAGTGTGGAAGTAGAGGAAGAAAGTGGAGGAGTCATATCATGGCCGCTGTTTGTCGTTTTCGCTTGAGGTAAAAGGAAACGAAAGAGAAGTTAAAGGAAAATTCAAAAGAGAATATTTTCGGGAGTTTTTCGCAGATGAAGAAGATGAAGAAAGAATAAAGGGTTATATAGCGAGCAGGATAGAATTGGGGTTGCAGGAGTCGAAAAGTGGGAACTAAGTGAAATTTGCAAAACTAACAAAATACATAAGTTAAAAGATCAAGAGAACTTACTCATCTGAACGGTGGAAAGCTCGTGGCGAAATTGAAGAACTTGAAGTTGCAGAAACGCTCGAAATCGCAGAGAAAGCAGGGAGAATATAAGTGCGAAAATTTGCAGAAGTGAAGAAAAAATCCTAAGTGTTGAAGTTAGGGTATTTATAGGAAAAGGGGAATAAAAGAGAGGAATTGTCAGCCGTTGTTTTACAAAGTTTGAAGGGCCACGATTGATAGGTAGTGGAACAGGCATAGCATGGATGACCGTTGGATTAAAGGTGTTGATCTAACGGTTATGAAAAGAGAGATATTTAAAGGGTACCAAGTACGAAGCGGGGCATTTACAAAGTAATGATGATCTGACATACGAAAGGACGCGCCTGACAGATTTGACAAGTGGCAGAATTTAAGTTTGAAATGCAAAATGGTGGTTGAAAGGAAAAGGGATGAAGATGAAGCAAGCAAATAATACATTAGTTGGTCGAAGACGACAATAAAGGACGATTACGGTCAAAAGAGAGACGAAGACCTACTCTTGGATCGAGTCATTTAGACTCGACCAGAGTAGGGGGGACTAGATGATATGGGATGTTATACCTTAGACCGGTCCAGTTTATGGAAGAAGAATAAATGGATAAACTGGTCTGGTCGAGCACTGCTTATACTGGTCAATAGCGAGCATAGGCCACAGCTACGAGAATCCTAGAACACCCGGCAGATCCCATCATTACAGAAGACAGGGTCGGAGTAATAGGCGGTCGAGCATGAATGATCGTGAGATCAACCACCTCCGACACCAGAGGCGACTTAACAACTTGCCTAGATCTGGTCGAACATAAGAGCCTCCAAGGGAATCTCAGATACACGTGCGTGGGACACGTGGCGCGTGCTAATTGGTCTACGTCAGTAGCTGTTTCTGACACATTCCTAACACACCTACCTAGAGGTTGTACTATAAGGCAGGTCGGACAGCCTTAGGGCAACCAACTCACCAAATCCGGGCAGCTTTTAGAACAGGTAGCTCACCCCTATATATAGGGGTGAGCCTTATAATTTTCACACATTCTCTCATGTTTTCACTAATATATACATCATTCTTCTCAAGACTGACTTGAGCGTAGGAGGCTCTTCACCGGAAAATCCCCCCGGTGTGAGAGTTTGTGCAGGTTTCGACGTCTTACCGGCGAGGAGAGCAAGATCGAGGCGGTTCCAAGCCGGTCGGAGTGTCACACTTGCATGATGGTGCTGTTCATTAGGTGTGACGGCTTAAGGCCGAGCTCTTATAAGTTCGAGTGTTGTTTCATTGGGTGTAATGGCTTAAAGCCGAGCTCTTACGAGTTCGGGTGATGTTCATTAGGTGTGAATAAGGACCTGGGGTATTATTTCATGGTCAAAAAATATTCAAGACTAGCTTGGCTTTAATAGTATATATTTTAATCTCCTAGCATATTAATTGGTGGACAAATGATTTTTTTTTTTTAATTTTTTGTTTGGTACAAAGAGGGGAGAAAACATGGGGAGGAGAGACAAACATAAACGAATGTTTTTTTAATTAACTGTAAATTAAACTAAACCCCTTCCATTTACAAACTAAATTAAAAACTTAAAAAAAATAATCACGTCAAATTGAACTACACTTAATTAGGGGTGTATTGGTTTTGGGATTTTGATAGACATTTCGAGATTTGAGTTTATTGTAAGATTTTTAGATTTTGGAGGAGTCATGTCAAATCTTAAGTCTTGAAGTGAGATGTGGAGTGTGATTTCGTATATGTTGTTTATTTTAGAAATTCCATCAAATCTTTAAAAGTCTTAAGAAATCATAGTATGAGTACTCCTTAAAATTTTGTAATACTTTTAAAATCCCAAATAAATAGTTCAAGACTTTTAAAAGTATTGAGAAGTCTAAATTAAATACACTAGGATTTCAAATCTTAAAGAGTCTTCAAAATATTTAAAAATCCCAATTGAATACACTTTAAGTTAAAAAAAGTGACTCAAAAAAGTATAGAGAGATGCTACGGTCCCGTTATGGAACCATTCCGTCGGAGTTTACAACCGTTAGATAAACTATCCCTAAGATAAAAAGATGAAGCAGTCATACCATACAACTAGACTTTTATTTCGATCTCTTTTTCCAAATCCTGTAATATTAAGTACATCATTTTATTATATATCTCACATTTAATACCTATATGGAACCTGTCACATAATTATAACGAACAGCCACATAATTTGGGACATGATACATGCATGATCTATTGATCTTCACCTCAACTCAACTAAAAAGCAAACAAACTAAAAAACACCAACCACAATTCCCCGAAATTCACGCAATCATGCATTTGTTGTTGCATTAAAGAAACTAAACCACCATCAAATCCGCTTATTCTTCTCAACCGCCGACCCCAATCTCCGGCCACCATAGTTCTTCCGATGAAAGTTGAGAAACAGCACCAAAAGTGACGTTACAAACATCATGTTGAGAACCCACGACCACATCCCGGCGCATCCCGGCCCTTTAACATGCAAATACAGCGTGACGCCCGAGATAACGTAGCCGAAGAGAAACTGCGCGATCTGGCAGTTGGTCACCGCCTTCTTCCACGGCGGCCGGAATCCGAGCGCCGCCAGCAGATAATAGCCGTACATCACCACGTGCACGGCCGAATTCGTCACAATCCCGACGGGGAACAGCGACTGGGGCGCGGACAGCCACGCGTAGCACATCCCCACGACGGCCGCGTGGTGGTACACGTGGAGGAAGGAGAGGCGGCGGCGGGCCCCGCGCAGGAGGATGAGGAGTGTGTCGGCGAACTCCAGGATCTTGGAGAAGTAGAAGACGTGGGCCCAGAAGAAGGTGGGCCCCGCGGTTTTGGAGGGAATATTTAAGGGGAAGCAGAGGGGCCACGCGGGGTTGTCGGGCGGGGTCTGGTGGAGGGCGGAGAGGGCGGCGCCGGCGGCCATGACGAGGGAGAGGAGGCAGAGGACGGTGTTGTGGGCGGCGGCGGCGGCGCGGAGGGCGGCGGTGGGGAGGGCAGGGAGGATGGGGAATTGACGGAGGAGGAGGGTTAGGGTGAGGTAGGTGCACACGGTGGTGGAGAGGAAGAGAGGTGTGGCGCCGGGGGATTGGCCGGGTCTCCACTCGTATTGGCTGATTACGGGGTGGTCTACCAGATAGTAGTGGACCGCGTCGTAGAGGATAGTCATTGTTTCTCTTTTTTTCTGTTTCTTGTTTGGCGGAGTGTGGATCATATAGTAAGTACACAATTAATAATAATATTAGGTGTTTTGTGGTAAAGAAATGTGAATTGGATGAACCCTTTTAAAGCTTTCGATTTGGGAGTGGGGATAGCGCGTGGAGATGATGTTTGGTTTTAAGGAAACTCCTCCAAATCAAAAAATCTAATGACTGTAGTACTGTACCAAAAAAAATCTAATGACCAAATGTTATATTTTTTAATTATTATTTTATTTCTTGTGTGTGTCAAGACAAAGACAATTCAATGGCTAAGTTAACATGAAGAGTTTATGATCCTACATGTGGTAGTGCCTCCCACATGATTTTTATCTATTGATCAATCGCACATTTGCACAAATTTTATGCATGTTCGTTAATCTAACGATATATGATACAAAAGACGTTGGTGTGAGCAGTATGAAGTTGACCAACTAACATGATATCCCCTTAATATAATTTCAAAACGTGTTGAGCCTAAATGGTTGGCTCGCACGTTTCGGAAACTTACTTGGCAACATTACATGCTTCGACTTTTGGTTGGGATAAAAATTATTTTTTCTTGATCCGATCCCCTCTCACTCCAAAATAAATAAGATTCTTATATGCCGTGTAAATAAGATTTTTTACTTAATATTATAATATATTTTTGCTTAAAATCTTTGCCAAAATCGGTATCCGATCTCCTCCAACTCCAAAATAAATACTACAAAAATTACACGGGTTAAGAATCCTATACCAATATTATAATATATTTTGGATTATAATATACTTTTACTATCCATATTGCTTAATATTATTTTATTTTTGTAATAAATACTACACTAACTATATTCATAATCTCGATTGTCTAGAATGTCAATGCTATATTATTTTTTTTAATAAATTTACTCTACATATAAAAATATAACTACAACAACTTGGTTTATCATGTATAAAAAAATTTGATTTTTTACACAAAAATTTGATTTATAATGTATAAAAAATCTTGATTTATCACGGATACAAATTCAATATTATGATTATCAAGACAATTATAAAATGTTTCAAAATTACTCACAAAAATATTATCAAAAAAAATTATCTATAAAAATAAAATGTTACAAAAAGGATGGTGAAAATTTCAAACATGTTAACAAATTAAATTTTAACATCCATGAAAATATTTTTACCATGTTTTCAAAATATTTATACAAATATTTTAAAATAATTTATATATAGAAAAGTAAGACTTTTTTATTGAACTGTAACAACTATTTATGAATATTTATTTGCACAAATATTGGATGAAATTTTTTCATGAAAAGTGATATTTTTAATATGCACGAATTCATATTTTTAAATATTTATTTTGATTTTGTAACTGCAGCTTATAAAGTGTACGGGTAAGAGATATTCATCCCCCTTAGTATAATTTCAAAACGTGTTGAGCCTAAATGGTTGGCTCGCACGCTTCAGAAGCTTACTTGGAAATAAATTACATTTATCTTTATAACAATAATATTTTTTTAATATTAATTAAAAAAATAAAATTATTTATCAATTAATATATTTATAAACAAAAGGTAATTCATTAGAAACATCTTTTTTTTTTTATTATTAATAAAGGGCTCGATCTGTTATGTTAAATATGTATTGAAAAGAGTGGTTTCGGGGGTTAAACTGTACGACATCTCTTTAAAAGTGGGACATATACAATCTTGTCGATAACAAGCTATTTAAATATTTATAATAAATTATTATATTTATTGACTTTAAATCCAACTGTCCACTTACCTGCTTTGGTGACTCTGGAAGTCAAGAAACCTGTGCGTCTTTCAAAAGTCTCTCATTCCCCCTCACAGATTGATCATTGCAGCTCATTCAGACTGGCAGAAGTTTATTAAGGCTGCAGGATGATTTCTGATATGGATGATTTGTTGTTGTTGTTTTCATTCAGTTGTTTATATTTTTGTCAGCTTTTCTGTGTAGTAGGTTTGTTTGTTTTGGTTTGGAGATTTTCTCAGCTTGCTATGCTTTATAGCAGTGACGGGTGATTAATTCTCTTTTTATCTTCTCTTTCTTTTCTTTGTTCGAGTTGTTAAGGTTTTAGGCCATCTTGAATGAGCCTCTCAGTTTGTTTTTTCCAGGTGGATGGTGTTGTTGTACTTTGAACTATTTTGTCCTTTGAGACTTAATAATACAATCTCTATCGTTTCGAAAAAAAAAAAAAAAATCCACCTTGTTCTTGCATCTTGTAGGTATTCAATAATGGATAAAGAAAATGCAAAACTTATTAGACACATTAGAATAGCGAAAATGAAAGAAAAGCGTGGACTATCTTCTGCAGGCATTGAAACTATTGTTTCGAGTGAGTATATTTAATTGGACTTACTTTTAAATTTTGTATTATATATAATATATGCAACTTACATTATTACAAATTAATTATTAGATTAAAGGATAATATTTTATTTATGTAAAATGCATAAAGTATATATTTCTTTGATTTTTTTTATATATTCGATGTCAGACACTCCATCCAGTCAAACAAGAAAGTTCAGAAAGTCCTTTATAGATGCAAGGCGACAAAACGACATCCTGTACTCAACTGATTTTTTAAATGCAATAAAATGCTCTGGAGTTCCTAATCACATCTTAAAATTGAAAGTTGGTATTCCTGTAATGCTGCTTCGAAACATGGATCAATTTTCTGGGTTGTGCAATGGCACCAGGTGGAGTGGTCACTCGACCATTCTTTTATTTTTTTTTTGGCATTTATACATTCCTAAATCTTAACTAATTTATTATCTATCATTATTGTAATGTTTTTACTTTTTAATTAGAAAGATAAACTGATAACTTTAATAAATAATCAGTATTTATTTTATGGGTTGTGTAATGACACCAGGTTAGTCATCACTCGACTTGGAGATCGCATTGTTGAGACAAAGGTTCTATCGGGAAAGAATATTGGGAGCAAAGTACTTATTCCGCGGATGTTATTGACTCCTTCTGATGTGAGATTGCCTTTCAAGTTTCAACGAAGACAATTTCCACTTATGGTTTTTTTTGCAATGACTTTTAATAAGAGTTAAGGACAGACATTGTCTAACGTCGGATTGTACTTGCCTAATCCTGTATTCAGTCATGGTCAACTTTATGTTGCATTATCTAGAGTTAAAAGTAGGATAGACTTGAAATAATTCTGTGTTGCGATAGGGATGAAAAAATTGTAAATAAAACTATTAATGTAGTGTGCAATGAAATTTTTCAAAATTTGAAATAATATCGACTTTGGTCTTTTCTATTTTTGCACTTTTATACGACAACATGTGTTTATTCTATTATTTTATGCTTTATATTTTTTTTCAAACAACCGATGTAATACACGGATATCGTACTAGTAAACTTATTAAAGGTAAAAAGTTTCTACTAGTGTATTGCATACGAGTTTTACTCCCATATCAACACATACGAAAAGTGTGTGATCCAACTATATAAACTAAATATTTTTGTCCTTTTTAAAAACTCATCAAATACTTCTTTTATTCGCTAGCCTTAAATGTATGTAATACTAAATTAATCTTATTTAAACAATCTTCAATTAACCTTTCGTATTCTATACAAAAAGTATGAAATATTTCCATTAGTAAAATTTAAATGGAAATTTTTCAATGCTAGTCCTCTAATTTGATCATTGTTTGTATTTGGTACTATAATTTGTTTATAATGAAAAATAGTTTGTTAAGTCGCGAGTTTTCTTACTTTCGGTACATTAATCCCAACAACTAGAATTAGCTGCTAAAGTTACGTGATAAAATTGAGGTGTGCCCATGTGGCATGTGACATGAAAATTTCAGTCCATTATAACTTAGCCACTTTCCCAATTTTGATATGTCAAGTTATTCCAAGCTCAATTTCAGTCTTCAAGTTGCACTTTTTATCAACTTTTGTGTACTCGGTACAATAATTTTTATATTTTTTATGATTCACTACAAAAAATTACTATATTCCAACGTAAAATCCTGTGTTAATATATTCTAGTACAAATTCTAATAGATATTCCAATGTTATAATTTCCGTTGGAATCATTCCGACGAAAATATTCCGTTTGAATGAATTTTTCATTGGAATTTTAGATGGAATGTGATGATTCCAACGGCTATGTTTCCAACGGCTTTTCACCCTAGGAATTTCCGATGGAATATGGAATTTCCGTTAGAATTTTTATTTCCACTACCGTTGGAATCATTAAAATTCAACGGAAATTCCAAAGGAAAACTCATTCCAACGGAATACTTTTGTAGGAATTTCTCTTGAAATAATTCCTACGGAAATAATAAAATTGAAATCCATTTAAATTTCTGTTGAAATTCTATTGGAATATATTTCCGTTAGAATTTCATCATTTTCTTGTAGTGATTTCTTCACCACAAATTTAATTTTATTTTAATTTGATAAGTAACAAAAATGGATTTTGTTTGTCCATGAAAGATACTTTTGTATATCATTTTTTTTTTTCATTCAATAATTTTTTTATTATGATTTTGTATTTGATAAACATTTTTTGTTTTCTCATTTTTTGAATGCAGTAATGACCTACTTAAACTAACTTAATTATAAATTAGTTATTTGATAATAAATTAAAAAATATATAATATAAAATGGTAAGTCGTGTAAGTGACAGTGTCAATTTTAATATAAATAATAATATATTTTTTTCAAAAAAATGTTTAAAAGTTTAAACAATTTTTTTTATTATTTAATTATAAATATAATTTCTTTAACAACTACTCGTGTACTAGACGAGTATTGGCATTGTTTGGCGATCAGCGGAAAGCAAATAGCGGATAACGGATTATATCAGCGGATAGTGAATAGCGGATTGTATAAGCTGATTTGACCAGCTGATTGCATTAGCGGTTTTTAAATAAGTGTTTGGCAAATAACTGAAAACTTATAGCTGTTTGACATTGCAAAATGACCAATA